CAGTAGCGTTCTTCACGTGCGAATGGTGCGGATACGGATCATTGAATCCATTGAATCCACACGATCCACACCAATCCACTGAATCGTCACTCACACTGTTATAGAGGTCCTTCTGGTTCTGGTTCTCGTTGCGAATGACCACGTGAATGGGCGCGCTGCTATGCAGCCTTTCGAAATTCGAACGTCGTTCGATTCTGATCAAGAAGAAATGTAAATTGTTTTTGTTTTACGTTCAGTCGCGATTGATTAAAACCGAGACGCGTATCAGCATCACTTTTAGCTCCAGCATAGTACTATCCTATAAAACTGTTAGTTTCTCGTTTTCTAGTGTTCCAAATTGGATACATTACGCTACCGTTCAGGATACTCTTCGGACATTTGGCTTCAATTCTAGTGTTCGGTCATAAATATTGGTTCGATACAAACAGGAATATTACGTTCCTGTACTACATGATTCGTACAATCGAAATTAATTAACGATCGAATTTCCTCAAATCTTACAACACTGCTCCTCGGAGCCTGCAGTAATAAAATTTGATAAAAGAAAAATACGTATACTTACCGTACATAAGTCAGTTTACATAACGTGAGAACTGTAAGAGATTAGGATTATTTTATAAACATTTAAGTCTAGCCTGCATAGTTCTTTATTGAAGTCAATATTAGTAACTGATCAATAACGATGGATGAAATTAGGCTCTTATATTCGCACGAATGGATACTATAAATTACACGTTAAATTAACCGATGAAATTAACAAGTCAGCATGAGGCTGCGTTTATGGAAACTGGAACGATCGTTGAAGTGCAACTCTCACCACTGGAGTGAACTACGTATGTACGCAGGTAAAAACGAACGCATCGTAAAAGAACCAGAATCCTAGCGGTCGTATTCGTGTGATACACGTTATGATACAATTGAACGAAAGACGATAATCCACTGGCTTTGGTATTTTCTTATTGCGGTGGGTATAATGTGATAATATTTCGTACTAATACTTGATCAGTAACTATAAAGAGTATTACGTTAGTCAACCCTCTAACTGAATTCATATCATCGCTCGTTAATTTGTGGACCGCGCTTGTTTATAACGCGCCTCGAATGATTTTCCATCCGATGTACAGTTTATTCGTAAAATGCTTTGCATATAGTACCACGTATACCATATGCATATTATTCGATAAACGAGTACAATGGTTTTTTTTTATATTGGATACGAGGAAGGGGCATGAATACGTTGAGGTGTTACATCGCTTCCTTCCTATTTCGTTGAATTTTTTTTCCACAATAAAATTATCGATACATATCTAAAACTGACGTCGAACCGTTAAATATTCGTGCATTATTGTACACTTATTATTCTCGAATATATCGAACATCATTGTCGTATAATTCTTATTAAAGACGTTCGTGACGTGTTAATAATGTTTAATATAATATTAATGATGATGATAATAATAGTAATAACACAGAACTGATGTCCCGAAATTATCTCACTCATCCTCCGCGAGGAACAAGCTCCTGAAAAAGGCTCTGTTTCTTTCCTTTTCTTTTTGAAACTCTAATTCACTGGCGTGCGCTTTAAAGGAACATCGAACACGTTTGTTGCAATCATACTGATAACACGAAGAGAAAAGAATTCCTTGCAATAAATTACATATCGTCCAACGTACAAAATCATTTTGCTTTTTCTCTTCGTTTCTCTCTATCTCTCCCTCTCTCACACACACGCTCTCCCTCTCACGCTCTCCACGAACAACTACTTAATCTTGAAGTTGAAAATTTTCATGCTTTGTTTTTTTTTCTTTTTTCGATGTACTTTCTCGCTCACACATTTCTCGCATCGTTTTACAATCGTCGCTCGATGACTAGAAACATCGTTTCGCGGGTCATTTGGTAAAAAAATTATGCGAAAATGGAAAATAGTTGTAGAAAAAATAAACTCGGCCCGAGGACAGCATCGGATCTTTCGTATAGCGGGGCGCACAGGTGCGCGGGAAATCGATTACAATTCGCACCTGTGTTCCATGACGATGAACAGATGCTGTCCGGCTTTTCCTTTCTTCTTGGGTAAGAGTAGCTAACACACTTCGTATCCTTGCGATTTGGGCGGAGTGACTGGTCAATGGAAAGTCAGTGGCAAACACACGTCATCAAATCGTACTCAAACACGCATAGATCGCTGAAAATAAATTATTTCCACGCTGATGAAAACTCACATGTATTTCTCTAGCATGCAATGTACCCTGGGCAGCAATTAATTGGTTTGTTCAGCGCTCTGCGCCTGTTTCTCGATTTTCCTCGCGAGCTCGGGGCTCATATGCGGATGCGGGAACGGCAGCACCGGTTTCCTGAGGATCGTTGGCTTCACCTTTATCTGCGGCTTGAAGGAGGACACCTGACTGCCGCCGGTCAGGTGCATGTCCGCGAACTTGGCAACTATCTTCGGCGTGGAACGTGGAGGGAGCGGCGACTTCAACGGCATCGAATCCGACAACTGATTGGAACTGGCCGATCTGACGATCTCCTCAGTCTCTTGCTCGGGCTCGTTCTCAGTATCGACGCGTTTCAGTTTCGACGCCTCCGGATTCGACTTCGTGTTCTTCTTCAGAGTACACTGGTTTTGTTTAGCGAATCGTTCCGCGGCCGTACTCATGTCGGGAGACTCGGGTCCTCCCGTAGGCGACGTCGCTGCCTCAGCGCGAGACGGTTGTGTAGGCGTTTCCTCGTCGGAACTGCTCAAACTGCTCGACGAGGCGGATTTCTTGCTCGCGTCCTGTGCCGACAGCGGCAGATCCATCACCAGATCCGGTGTGTGCTTCTGACGCATCTCCCGAAACTCTTGAGAAGTACGGAAGAGCTTGTGATTCGGAGCCGCAGACGGATTTAACTGTGTCTGTGACGTCGCTCGTCTCTGCCAGAGCTCGCGATTCGCCGAGAACGTCGGTTGCTCCAGGAGTTCTTCCTCTTGAGAGATAGTGCCGGTTTGCATAGTATTCCCCGTCTGTTGCATCGTGTCACCCATACTTTGCGACTTCCAGTGTTGTTTTCTGCTCGTCCCACGTTTCCCTCCGTCCAGACTCATCAATGAGATACGTTCCATGTCCTCGCCAACGTCCTCGCTCCGTTGCTGCTGCTGCGATGAATCGCTGAAGTCTGACATTTTCTCGTTGTCCACGTTACCACCGACTATGATCGGCGTAGCATCCGCACGGTGATCCGAAGCGAAGGCGTGCTTCTCCTTCTCAGGTGTAGATACCATCGTCACTCGGGACGAGCATTCCTGAAAACAGTTCCGACTGTGTGAGAATGATTGTAAGTTCCGACGTAGATGGTCGGAGGAAAGCTTTTGATGGCGAAAATTAATCTGTTACGTAGTGAATGGGGAAACTACTGACGCTCTCCGAGTTACCAACCATGTTTGTTGCTATGGAATAGATATTATTTTCTATGTTGTTATTGCGTATGTAGGGTGCCCTGGAATGTTATCACAATCTGTTATTTTCGTAGACGATTGACCAATGGACAGACTCGACTTATGAGTAGCGTCAACTTTTACAACTTGATAATCCGACTTCGATCACTTTTCACGACATATTTGACTTAATATTAACACAGAAATCGAAAGAAATTTAAACGTGTACAGAAGATGAAGATATGTATATAGGTCTGCAATCCATATATTTGCATGCATGAATATGGAGGCGAGGAAATGAATAAACACAAGTGCACAAAGATTGATATATCCATACCAGGGTAGAATTAAAAACTGCTCGTAAAACTGACAATGATTAAGGATGAATACAAGCAGGCAAACATGTAAAACACGTGACAGTCGCCTTGCGCTGATACCTATCTCTCTACGGATGCCAAAACGACAGAGTTAATTATTAATTAACTGGTCTGGTGCGAGGGGGTGAGACACTTGTTTACTCACCTAAAAGCCAAAAGATTATCCGCCGGATAAGTAGACTCTGCGAGTAGCATTCCATTTTGGTTTCATCTATAGACTGAAATTGTTTTACAGAATGCTAGGATTCACAAACCAACTGAACTGTTAAACAGAGGCACTCCTTCAACGAAACGAAAAACACAAACGACAGAACCACACGACACTTGGCAGCAGTTTTATCGAACAGTTTTTAGTCCGTTTCGCCCACTACCTACGTCAATTTTTTTTTGCTCGTCAACTAAATGCTGACTAAACGTAAATCTGGAAAAACCATCCCAACTATTAACATCGAGTCAGTCGTTATCAGTATAAAAAAATGTATGAAAAATTGAACGCCGCAAGACAACAAAAAGGACACAGGCGACACAAGACAAAGAGACCAAGGCACATGCAGCAACAAACACGTATATTTCTATTTTATTTACAAATATATCGTACAAATGATTACAGCTAATCGAGATAGTACCACCTCGATGTAAACTAAACTTAACATAGCCAGAGATTCACGTCTCCCGCTTCCATGGGCCTTTTACTATATGACGAGAATCGAATCTTCAAACTTTAAAAAAAAAACTGCACTGTTTCTCGAGGTGTGAAAAAAAAGAAAAAAAGAATACATATGACAATAACAACGTGCGTACAAAAATTTACATTATATTAGAACCACCCGTTTATTTCCTGGTTTAAATAAACGAGAAATTCTACGAATAGATTTTGGTCCCACGACTTAAAGCGATGCTGCTTTCCATTAAAAACGCGTGATGTGTAGGCAAGAGTCTGCGCTTTCCAAAACAGCGAATGTGCATATCCCGATCTTTCTCGCTGCTGTTGCGCTATCATGAGGAAACCGAATTACAGCACAATAGCCATGCACTTGTGCTTAAAAAGTTTAAAATCTTCCGAGTGCGTTGCGGAGAATATACAAGCAGACGAATGTATGAAAAGATAAATTAAAAAAAAGGGGATAATCGAACTAGGTGTTCATACTAAACGGTAGTTTCCAGTACCTCTCGACTGATGATCGGTTGCGCCGACGAGATGCACTGGACATTTGTCACGACTGCCGGAATAACGCCACTGTTACTGCTATTGTCTGTTGCGATTATGTTCGTCGTCGACTGAACGTCGGACGTGGTGCTGGAAGACCAAGTAGCCGGATTCCCGGTCGGCCCCATCAGCGGTGAATTGTTACTTGAAAGAATACTATCAGCAGAGCTGGAAGTCCTTCGTCGCATCGATTCTTCGCTTGACGACTTCAGGAGCTCCTTCTCTCGCTCCTCATCTCTAAACAGACGACAAAAGTCTTTTTATAAAGAGAAACTAATAAGAGATCATATTACGGCGAGCATAGGCAAGCATTTCTAGATTTCTAAAGTAAAAATACGAGTAAGCAATTTGTTACACAAGTTGAATACCAATACGTGTTCCCTAACAATAAAAGTCCCGCGATAGTAGAGTTAGAATGAGACAGAGTATGATGTGGAGGATTCGGGATGTTTACGTAGGAGGAATTAAAAAGGATATTAATAAAGAAAAAGTATCTGATGCAAAAGCCTAGAGAAGCATCATCTTTCTTTTACTCAAAGGCAAGCACATTTGAGCTCATCCAAGCTTCGTTCCCTTTGTAAATCGTTCAACTCAGCCACTAAGTTCAGCAACTAAGTTTAACAGAAGGCATTCTCGTAGGAAATAATTCACGACTGCGTGTGATTAAATCGCACTTACTTTATCTTGATCATAATATATTTATCGGGAATAAGCCCCTCTCTACCAGCCAAGGCACCTCGCCACCAGTCATTACTGACTTGTGTGTATAGAGTCAAGGTATCTCCCTTTTTGAAGCTTAACTCTCTTTCGGACCTTGCATTGAAATCGAATTGTGCTGTGGCTTCGAGGTTTTCCGATTCTGGGAATACACAAAACGAACGTAGATCGCGCTCTGCTGAATTCCGAATTCAACCAAGTGAGAATGAATGCGGTCTCACTCACCGTCCTCGGATGGATACACCTCGGAGTCCATGTCTTCCTGAACCTGCTCCGTTGGCGAGTCTCCCACGTCTCTGCATTAAAATTGTTCGTTTCAATCATTTATTAGTCAACAACATCGCAATCTACGTCAAAAAAACTGTAACTTACACGTCCTCCGGCTCCCTACTGATGTATTTCTCGTACTGTGTACCTCCGATGTCGTCTGGGAATATTTCCTCACAGAACGTGATGATGTTCTTGATAAGTTCGTTAACCTGATTCTGGTACTGCACTTGGTCCTTGTCTTCCGGAACAGGCACCAATGTGGGACCGAAGCAGATTGCCAGATTGTACGGGTCCATCATGTTCTCATCCGAAAATTCCGAGAGGCTGTTGACGAAAGAAAGAGATATATATGTATATATCATTTAAATATTATATTATTCTGAAATCGAAGAATAAAGTACATACTGATTTAGAAAAGCAAAGAGGTAACGCATTACTATCACGACTGGCCTTGGAAGACTGGAGATCAGTTCCTTCATCTTGCTAACGAATTCCTGTTTCGATTCCAACTGTGCCAATTCCATTAGATGCTCAAAATATATGATGGGGAATAACGGTTCCCTGAGTTCTCTGAGATAGAGCTTAAACACGCCGGCTACGCTGTTAATATCTGAGGCGTCGGTGACATCAGCCAACGGATCTTCTCCCCTTTCGAACCACTCCCGGAAGTTGTTGATCTCCACTTGGGAACCAGAGACGCGGAATATGCCTTGATGATGAAGACCGTACAGATTGATAACTCTGATACAACTCTTCATAATCAGCGGTATCTCTTGATTCGTGCTTTCTAAATATTCCTCTAACGAGCCGCCGAACAATTTTGGTTGACCGTTCATCTGCAGCCGACCGATTCGTTTCCTTCGTGCTTGCTTCTGTTTCGACGCCGATATCGATGGGTTCGGACTGGCAGTGGAGCCATCCAACAAACTTTGCCGTATATATTCTTGCTTTGCATCTAACCTAGCTATTCTTGAGGTTCCAAGAAGATATTCCCTGAATTTCTGTAAGAAACAAGTAAATATTCGCTATTCTGTTGGCTAGAATCGGAGGTCTGATTCACCTCGAATCACACTTACCGTGAGGTAGAATTCTTCAGTTTCCTGTCTATCTGCTCTGAGCTTGATCTGTACCGTTTCCGGTGGTCTGGAGGTGGGGACAGCATTATCACCGAAATACCTGGAGCAGTCGTAATCTTTCGCGGTTAACATCTCTAATAAACTCGCCTCCGCCGTTTCCAATGTTTTCCAAACTTCTTCGGACTCGGTTCTAAGCGACGTTAGTCTCTGTTGTAACTGGGATAATCGTTGCTCCATTTCGGCATGCAACATTTTTTGTAATTCTGGTTCAGGAGACTGCAGCAAAATTTTTATGTCAATAGTCTAAATTGTCCGAACGCGATCTAGAGCCTAGAAACAGTCTCCACTCACCTCATCCCCTCGTTGTCCTTGGAATTCGAACTTCTTAGGAATCATGAAAGCGGCGTGATGAGATTCCAAGAATCTCTGCTTATCCGCCCTCGAGTCTAAAGCACCGACACAACTGGCCAACTGTTCAGCACCAGATTGCAGCGAACGCTGTCTACCTTCCTCTGCGCTGCAATGCATCAACAACGCTCTCGCGATGCAATTGTGAAAGCCGAAATCCATACACTGAAAATTAACATCAATTGCCTGCTAACTACAGAAGCCGATTAGCGGTATCAGACGATGCTACACCTATCCAGTGACCCACTATTGAGTCAGGTGTACGGTATCGAGAAGCCTGTGTAGTGCCGCGCTGAGTCGCATGTTTAATCGGTAATTAGTACACAAATCGCGTACCAAATATTTGACTACTTTCTAGTTGCCTACGTCGAGGCATACACCAGAACTATAATGAATCATACTTACGTCGATGAGATCCGAAAGGTCGTCGACGAAATACTTGTGTATTGTCGTGTTCGACGCCTCGAGACACAAGATGTACTCGTTTCTCGCTTGCAAGGCCTTCAGCTTTGCCTCCTGGTACTTCGCTTTCCTCTGCACAGAACAAGAACCACTCTCGTGAATTCAATCGATCTTTATTTCGATTTCTATTTCCAGTGAGCCAATACAATTCATTAATTCCACCCCTTAGACTAAACACCTAAATGGGATAATTGAAAGGGGTTCTCTAAAATCATGAAATTTTCACGCGGCGCGATGAATGGAAGCCCGCTTTATTCACCGCGGAACGGCCGGTTCATGTATACTCCGTGGAAGAAGAACATCGTGAGGGAAATCGATACTCGCGCGTCTAGAAGTACACTCGACCCCTCCAGGGTCAGAAAGTCAGAGAAGAGAGCTCGGCTCGGCGGAGTAGAGAGAATCGAGAAACGCGAGTGAGCACCCGCCGCGGCGACCTGGCCTTGATTTCTCATCATGTCCTATCTCAGCCATACGCCGGTAGCAGGTGGAGCCCCTCACTCGGCTCGCTCCTCCTTTCAACGCGCGCGTGTTGAGCAACAGAATTGTGCACAGATTTTTTATTGAATCTTATTGGCAACGAATCGGAAAGCGCACTCCGTATGAAACGTGGGAAAGAAATCTCCATGGGTTTTTATCTCTAGTCTGGCCTACCTTGTTCACTTCCTTTTCCATGAGCTTATACTTTTTGCTGCGCGCGAGCTTCTCGGGCGGGGCATTTGCCACTTCGAGCTTGCTACGCTGTTGTTCCGCGATGCGGAGCTTCGTTTCCGCTTGCCGTGACCCTGTCAGGTACGCTTGATACGTCTTCATCGCGATATGCAACTCGTCCAAAACCCGGAGGATCTCCTCATGCGTCTCGTAGCCTATTTCCCGGCACTGAAATCAATGCCATCGTAACCTTTGACTCGCCTGCCGTTTAGGAGCTATTGATACGCGCGGAAACGAACAAATTCATCGCGTGCTGAGGGAATCGATTTATACTCACTCGTTTGTATATCCGTTGAACGTCTTCCATCACCTGGTTGAGACGGCCGACGAGATGCGTGCTGTACACTTCGGACAGAGCTGCGTGATCCCTGCTTAAGGACTTGGTCTCGCTGATAAGTTGCTGCCAGCAAGCATAGCTCGAGAATAGGGGCCACTGTTCTCGCCTAGAAATCGTGTACCGTTAACATGTAGCGCTCGAAAGGGATCGAAAAAAGCGATGCAAAACGAAGGAGACTGATTCCTCTGAGAATTCGCGATAGAGGCGTAACAGAAACTAGCGCGTCGGCTTAAAGAGATAAGATTGGGAAACACATGTACTTTTGCTTCTGCTCCTTGTGTCTGAGCTGTATGCTTCTGGCCAACTTGTCGAGGGACTTGCTGTAATCGAGCTCGAGCTCGGCTCTCTTTCGAAAAAAATCCTGAAGCTCCGCCACGATGGCGACTTGGGCCTCCATCCTGATGTCGAGACATCTCAGCTGTTCGTTCAGCTGCAGCCGTATGTCTGAAAGGAGTACAAATAAAAGACTCACCACTGGCTCTTTTCGTTTTTCGTTAATCGATCGCGATCAACCGACCGACCGACCGTTTCACCGCGATTCGCGTTTCGTGTTACCAACGCATTTGCCGCTTTTGGGACCACTGGAAAGGTCTTATATTCTCTTTTTCTCCACGCACACCTGCCTTCTTCGACCGCTTACGATAAAATTATGAACGTCAATACGTCTGTATATCCGCGAGACACTGATAAGCTACTTCTCTGTTTCGTGATATAAAGAAAAAAGTGTCACGTCGTATCTGGATTTGTACAACTCCCATTAACTTGAGGAATGACTAAATGCTCTCAGAAAGATGAACGAGACCCAATAGTGGATCGTCCAAACAACCACGTGTGTTCGCATATGGCGTCGGGTATTTTTTTTTTTAAGGGGGAAGAAGAAGAAAGCTGTTATCCCTCGGACGCCTCGTCGTATGAACTTGCTCAACTTTTTCTTCCCGATCCGAGCGTAGGTCGTATCGATTTTCCGCACTTCCGTGGCGTGTGATTCATTCCCCAAGTGGCCACGAGATTTTCGACCCCGCGTAGGGGTCGGAACGCATGAATCGCCCACACGCCTAACAAGGTAAATAAACGCACTTCGGCCTACGTATCGGGTGATTCAAAACCGGCAAAATTAATTCACCAAACGTGATCTAATACGTTTGACTGGAACTCTTTGAATGATTAATCATAATTCTTTAATCGGGTCTGGAAAGGAGTCGCCCGAAACGAATTTATCTGGACAACCCTGTATAATATTGATCGATCCGAAGCAACCGAAGAAGAAAACGTGAACGCGACTTTCGTCGAGCGGAGGAGCTCCAAGCTTTCCCAACGCACAGTGATGTTTGTATTGATAAAATGTTTATACGTTAATAATAGCCACGCATCCCTTTATGCTCTACATGGTTATCGACGTTACATAATCGACCTTAATAATAATAATAACGTGCAGCGCGAGTGCTCGATTTACACGAACGATCGAGTTAACAGTTCCAACAAGTTCCGTCCTGCGTGGGTCACCGGTGATCCACGGGCAGAACTTTTCGTTTTCAAACGCGCACACGTATCGGTATATTTTTAACATCGAAACGGATCGCCGTAGCTGGTTCGTGACACGCAACAAACGACGGGTTCACCTTCTACATACAAAGAACAAGGGACGCGTAACTATATTTTTCAAGGGAACCAAAAAATTGACGCCAGGCGAGATGAAACAGCTCGCCGTGGCTGACACGTAATTTAACATCTGCGACGCACATGTGTGAGATTTATTAAATTGTAGGTCACCGATGAACCACGCGATGATACTTCCCAGTCGTCACGTCGCTCTTAATGCAAATTCTTTTCTAATAATAATGATTCTAATCCCCACTGGATCTTAATAAGTTCGAACGTTGTTTTCAACGAAAAAGTGAAATCAATTCCAAGTCCATTTGCAACGCGAACAGTTCCCCCTACGAGCTGCATGCATGCATATTCATGACAGACGTGTTATTCAAAAAGTAAAACGAATTCCTAACTTTCACGCAGGATTTTCTATGAAAAGAGACCGAGTCAAAAGTTGCAAGTGGATCTAGAATTTGCCGGAGACACAGTTTTATCGGAGAAAGTGCGTCCGGTATTCAGATTAATACGAGTGCGTCTGCAGTTTCTTCAGTCTCACGATCGAGCACCGTTTTCTCATGGGAGAGGGGGATTTGGTGGTGTGTTTGTCGGATCAAGGGAACACGTGTGGAATAAATGGTTTTAAAAAACGGTTGGTAAGCGCCCGCGCCCTTTACCTTTCGTCGAAGCCTCCCATTCTTGTCGTCCAGCGAGCTTGAACATTTTTTCCCGCGTTATCCGTCCACCACTCTTCGATCCGGCGGCGATTATCCCTCGCCTCTCAAATCACTTCTCCTCTTTACTTCTCTCCCACTAGCATAAGCCGCGCGTAGAGATACCACACGCGGAATTAAAAGCGTTCGATCGAGAATCACGTGAATTTTTTCAAACAATTATAGCCGTGAACGAGACACGTGTCGTCGTTTATATTAAATCCTCTGGTTTCTGGGATCATGCTGGTCGCAGCTGAACCGCTCGTCGGGATCTTTGGCAACCCTCGGCCTCGACTGGTTCGCTCGCATCTAGATTTCATTGGCATTAGTCGACAAACCGTGAATTATGGGTTTCTGATAAAACGGCAACGATCGGAATTACACTGAGGAAGGGTAGACGAACAGAAAAAGCTCAGGGGAGTTCAGAAACGTGTCTGTATCTATAATCTGGGTCTACTCGTTGCAATGGTGAATTGGCGATCTAATCGAATACCAGCCGGTGGCGATGATGTGAGATAAATTAAAATAATAGTTATGGAGCGATAAAATGATCGACGAGAAACCTTATCTGTCCCAGGAGCGCGTGGAAATGGGTAAGCTCCAAAGTTGAACTCGCACTGTACAGCGACTTTCCGCAATTTACTAAAAAGCATTGACATTTATCTATATTTCGGTGTACAAATTACCACTGGTATCTTTCAACATTTACATGTATATATTCTCTTATCTGCGCCCGTTTGCGAAGTTAATACAAAGGTATCTCCTGAGGTAACGGTTTCCTGTTGTGCAACCGTTTATACGTAATCACACTTTGTTAGAAAAAATTTGTTAAGCCGTTAGTCGAACGCTGTGAAAATAACCCAGGAACAAAGAAGTTTTGGGCGATGGCTCCCGAAATTATTTGAGTGACTCGTCGGTCGGACAAAATCTGTGGAACCGTCTCGCGAGTCACCAGAGTGTGCGGTCTCGTAATCGCGTGCAAGAAAATTGAAAGCGCGGCGACATGAAAAAATGTTAGCTCCTGTGCGCTCCCGTTATAAACTGAGAAAGGATTCCGTTAATAGAATGCGAGCACGGGCCTAGCTAGATACGCGGCCGTGTTGAAAGCTCACGCTCCGCAATTATCGGATCTGGTAGGCCACAACAGACAATGATGCATGTTGTGCGTGAAGTTCTCAAAGAACACGATCAACACACTGTTTTCATAGCGCGATGACCACGCAAAGGATTATTATTTTTAAATTATCGCCCGTGGACGGCCTTAATAGGTCTCCTCTAAGACGACACTGATCAAATGGGACATTATAAAAGAGTGATTATTATTATAACTTTCATTACTACCTCGTTCATCGCTACGCAATACAAGAAATGTCAGAACACCCGAAGAAAATAAAATTCTTCCCTGGTCAAGAGAGTTTGTTTTCATATGAGGAATCGCATAACTGATCTTCTTTATTGTGCCATAAATCCGGTTCGATCTCTTTGGTAATAATAATAGTTCTATTTCTCTAACAACGTACAGGTATTTGTTAGTGTAGTAGTTCTCGATAAAGCAACATTTCCAGATTGTTTGAAGAGGAAATAAACGAACCGGAAAAAAGCATTATAATACGATTATGCTCGTATTACGAATAGCCAATAAAAATTGCTTCTTGTAGTAAATAAACATTTGCCCTGAATAGTGCTATGAAACCTCTGCTTCTTTCCACACATTATGCAATTACGATTGAGATAAAAGGAGAACACGAGATTTATGGGCGAACCTGGTGCAAGCATGAAATTAGTTCACACAGTATCAATTTTCTCTGTCTTCGTTCAGGAAACAACCATAATCCGGTCTAGTTTCTAAATCCTACGCTCATTTGCATCTCAAATTCAACGATCGCTTTATCAATCAATTCGAATTGAATTCAATTTATTATATCGATCAATTGAAGAACGAGTCGGTCAAGTCTTCGGTCCCGGTTTCTACCCGACACCCGGTACGTGCCGGTTCCACTTCAATTGCGCGTAGACCGGCAATTACTCGGGACTTTTTACCTCGATTCGAGTTTCGATTCTATCGCAACGATGATTTCGCGACCAGCAACAGCGAGCCGATGCTGCCCGCTCGGAACGTAAACGTAATGGTCCCCGGATGACTCAGTGCACTTTTATGCACCGCGCGCGAACGCGGAGAGTTCACGCGCACAGGTGGCAATTCAGAAAGAGACTTGGTCCCCGTGTCGTTTACCAGATAACTGGGCGATGGATCATGGATCGCCCGACGAACTCGACGGTTCATGCAAAACCGCGAAGACGCGTCTCACTCGCGATTTGTCGCGCGAATCAGATAGATTCCTCGGTCCGTTCACCGAGACCAGGGACCCTCCCGCTCGTAAATGTCACGTGTTTCCAGCAGCGAAACACCATTCAGGCCTCGGGAAATTTCACAACAACGACGAACTGCTGGCAAAGTCAGTTAAGTAGTCTCGCTCGGCGCATAAAGCGACCTTGTTTTGATTACCGAACCCGAACGTGTGTACACGCGTGCTCGCAACACGACCGTTACGTGTCTAACTCGGAGGGAGTTTATGTGCTAAATCGGTAACCTGCCGCACGATTTAACGGGCCTCTCTCCTCGCTCGCGAATCACGAAATTTCGCCGGATATCCTGCGAAAGATATCGACGCGCACGTGTCCCGATACGTACTGTCTTTATTTCGGACGGTCTAATGTTTCTTTTTTTTTTCCCGTGAACAAGGAACGATACTAGAATTCATTAGATGACGAATAATCTGTACTGACCGAGTGAACAATACTTGATAAGATAAAACCATTCATGAAACTCGTCGATACTTTATACAGACAAGAATAATGACAAAACGGATTTCTGATCACTGCACCAAATACTCCAATTGGCAGCTAGCACGGGTTCGTGACGAGCCAAGAATCGAGACACCATTTGTACGTACAACGAAGGAACGTTCGTACACAGCAAACTGTTGATTAGATCTCATGCACGAGATTCACCGGACCAGATCATTTCCTGTCGACACCCCAAAGTCCACTGGGTACGTATCGCTCACTCCGAGATCGTCAAGGACTCGCGCACGGAGACGAAATGGAACGGATCACAGAATTAACACGGTCTCCCGCGATTGGGACCACGAAAACGGAAACGTCTCGGAGAAATAACAGCGGGCCTGCGGTCTTGATCACTCGCGAGTACTTATATCGCACCAGCGATCGTGAGGAGCGAGGGACTTGGCCGCGTGAACTGACCAGTAAGGACAGGCAGTCGTTGCTTTGACTGTCGTTAAATTAACCACAATTACCAGCGAGGCCTACACGCACGCGCCTTCCTCTCTACGCCTACTGTGTACATTACCAGACGTTTATGTGTTCACCATGTGCACGTACACACATCCGTCTTAACTTTGCTCGACCGTATGCGAGTTTACACTTGCGCGAATGCCGTTCGAGCCAACAGCAGCAGCGATGATCTAGAACTACTATTGCGAGATTTTCGCGAACGATGTACAGATAAAGAGAAACGAGATTAATGATCGTTATCAAACGTAGAATCTATAACGTCCTTTGAAAAAATAAAGGTAGAGATAAAGTATCTGTTGTGTACATAGTTAATTTATGTTACGAGCTGATTCCGACTGCTGAACATTGGTCAGCTTCCTGATAAGAAAGAACGATCGCGAGGACGTTATCAGGAAGGAAAAGCAGGCCGCTTAGAAATGCATTTTAATCGCGAACGAGATTCTTGCCACGAAATTTAGTTAGATATCTGCCTCGTGGAGAAGTTTGGCTCGGTTGCTAATCCAATTTCGGAGACTCAGGCGGCATTGAACAATACACCGGACGAATATGTATACGTGATTCGGTTCGAGCAGATTTGGGGAAGGGGTGGACCACGGCAATTAACAAGTTAGTTGCCAATTACCGCGTTATCGTTCGCGATACCGTCGCACGAGCAAACCACGTCATTTGTGTAAACTGTTGACGGGTTTATTCAATTAATTTCTTTTTTTCAGCCACCGGAAAAATTAAACGATTTCGTTTAAGGATGTATTGGCTATATAGTCAATCCCAAAAGTTTATGCACTTTAGAAACACATTTTTTAAAAAGAAATCAGACGTCGGGAGAACATTGCTAATAATAAACA